AACCCAGGTTTGGGGGTGGGGACACCCAAGTTGCCTATGGGTAGCCCCTATTCATCAAACGCTCTACCTGCGTGGTAAACACCGGAGCAATATTGTTATGAATGGGTCGGGGGGGGGGGTGGACGAATAGCTTATCCGTGTGCTGGCTAAAAGGTCAACCAGCTGCCCGGGTTCGCTGGGTGGAACTCGGCGCGATTTGATCAAGCGGCGGGCCCCAGTTAGCGGCGGGCCGAGCAAAAAAAGGTCAAGGCCTCACACAGGCCAGTGGAAGGGTACCACATCCCAGTCAGTTGCATGGCTCCTGATTAAAGGATACATCCAAAAACATGCTAGCAAGAAGGGGATCCCCTAGCCTCACCCTTTGAAGGACCCCGTGCTAACTGAACGGCGGCGAAACGTGAAAATCTTCGATGGCTGGCCCCGTGCGGGCCGTTGTCTCGCCAACACTTTCACTTGGGTGAAAGTTCATGGCACGACATATTTGGGAGTTATCATCTTTACTTGCGTGGCCATGAATTTCACAAGGGAACTCCAAGTGGATGGTGAGCATACATCCCTTCCCAAATAATGTCCACCAGATGGCTGCTGGAATCTCCAGGCCACGTTTGCGACCAAAAGCCGTGCTCGGTCTTGACCAAAAAGCGCCCTGCGCTTAGTTCAGGCAGTTTGTCCTTTATTGAAATGTGGGTTTCCTTATTCCACCCAGGAAGGAATGAGGTGGCTTGGGGGGGGGGGTCCTTGTGGGTTCTGCTTGTGATTTTTCTCTTCCTGGTTATCGGCTACAGTGGAAGCTAGAGCCCAGAAGCACTGGGCAGGTCAGTTGAATTTGATCCGTTGGGACCCATTTGCCATCCGACAGGAGATCGCAAAGGTGGAATCCGGCGAGTGGCCTGCGGAGGACAATCCTTTGAAGCAGCTCATCTTCAACATGACTGGGACAGGTGTTTAATATGTTGGGGCCACTGGATTTAGTATTGCTGGAGCTTCCTTTTGAGATGTTGATTAGATTGCATTTTGCTTAGGCTGGAGTTTGTATTTTGAGATTGGGTTTGAGGGATTTGAGTTTCCTTTTGCTTTGGTATTGCCAAGGCTTCCTGCTGAGATTGGATTGAAGGTTTGAGCTTGACTTGAGATTACTTTCAGTAAGCTTTGTTTTAGCTTGTACTGATTCAACTAGAGGTGTTTTGGGGTGCAGCACTCACTATTCGGGGAGAGGGCTTTTAAGAACAGATCCTTCTTCCTCCTCTGTGTGAATTCCGGTCTTGTCTCTTGACAAAGCTACATATTGTGAGTTTGGGGGTTGGGTTGTTTCTTTTTCGTCTTGGACCGGCAACGTTTCAAAACTAACTAGCATTGGGACTAGACTAAACTAGCTTTCTTTGGGCTACTGGATGTTGTCCCCTTTTGTTTCCCACCCAGTTTCTTTTGGTGTTTGTTTGTGTTTGTGTTTGTGCGTTGGGCATTTTTCAAATCATTCGTTAGAGGTGTTTCTTGATTGTTTCAGGGTTTTGTTTTTCATGCTGCACGAGGGGGTTGATATATTCATAGGCGGAGATGAACCGATTTTTACACGGCACTGGGTTTCTTGACAAGCCGGCGTCATACACTGGCACGATGCAGTTACTGTAACAGGGGCATCGTTGGAACCAGGCAGGGCTAATGGAAAGGCCATGGTTTGACGGCCTCCGCCTTTGCATACTTCGATCTTGAAAGAGGCTTCTGCCAGACCTTGTATTGTTTGCCCTGCCTTTGAACCATTGAGATGGGTGCCGCCACTGACCTCCAGGTTTTCCCAAAGCGTGCTCTTTCCCAATGAAATCCACTGGTGAGCTTCTCGTTCGCGACGCCCACGCTGAGGAATGCGCCGCACACGCAGGAGGAGGTGTGCGCGACGGAGTGGAAGCACCCCTACAGCCGTGAGGAGGCGAGGGCAGGATGTGGCGAGCGGCTTTGATTCGGGTGTGAAACGTGCGAACCCGTGACCCAGACCTCCAGTGGCGACCTTTTTATCTCTTCCGGGCTTTCTTCCTGAAACCAACGGCCAACAAATTGCCTGCCCTTTTTCCCATGGCGAGTGTGGATCTAGGGCAAGGCAGGTTTTTACATGTTTTTACTGGGGGATCCAGGTCTTATGTCAGGCTTGGAATGAAAGGGTTGCGGGGGTTGCTGGTGGCTACGTGGAGCTGCCAAATCTTGCAGTGTGATCGTGGGTAGTGCCAGCTCCTAGCCAATGTTGCACAAAGGGCGATCCACGTTGCCCGCTATTCGTGCCATTGGCCATTCACCCAACCCTGACTCTTTTCCACATGTCACTCTCAGTTTGAGGGCTTGCCTTCCATTGAAGATCTGGACTTCAATGGAGGGTCCGCTTTGGTTAGGGAGAAAGAAAAACCCAAAAACCACCAAACAGCCTCTCCCCTCCCCGACGCATAGCCGTCATGCGCCCGCACGCGCTCGCCATCTGAGGCCGCCTTCCCAGCGCCGTGGCTGCTGCAGCGGGGGAAGTTTTGGCCCACCGTGGCGCGCGTGGACAACTCCCTGGGCGACCGCAAGCTGAAGCTGCGCCTCGAGGAGCGGAGCGCTCCGCTTGCGGAGCGGAGCTCGGCGCGGGGAGCTATCTTTCCATCTTGAAAGATTCGGGGCCTGGGGTTGGTTTTTGTTTTTTGTTTTTGTTTTTTTGCTTTTTCCGGCTGGGTGTGGGTTGGGCTGTTGGTTAGGTTGCTTGGTTTTAGCAGGGGCGGTTTGCTGGTTTGGTGGCTTGGTGGCTTGGTGGCGTAGGCAATCGGAGCTTTCGATATAACTTAAACAGTTTGTTTCATGCTGCGCGGCGAACAATACTTGTTGACGCATGGCATGGAGCAGATTCAAAGAGTGACACCGCTGGATGGCCTGGTTTATCAGTTGGATGCCGCTAGTCCCTTGTTTTCCCTCCAGAAGGTTGTTGGGAAGAATCGGTGGAAGAGGGTGCTTTCTTCCAGTAATGTAGCAGTGGCTGCGTAGCTTTGGAGAATGATAAGACGAGCTCACCTGAGGGAAAACAAGCTCACTATGCTAAAGGTCCTGTAGGTGGAGTTTTGTTTTAGGTTTCGGGGAATTGCATATTTTTAGGTTTATGCGTCACGCGGCTCAGAAGTGTGTACTCCAGGGTTTCACGCCTAGGTCCAGTGTGTGCATGATCAGGGGAAATGCAGTTTCACAACAAGTGGCAGAGGTTGCTTTTTGGGACACCAAGCTATGCTTTTGTTGTGCAGGATGCCTTGCCGTTGGTTGCGCTAGCTTCTCACAATGCTGCCGAAGTCCTTGACCATTCCATCACGTTGATGCTTAGCACGTGTAGGAGCAAGGCCCAAACTGCAATCCAGGCTCCGGATCCCAGGGATTTTGGCCCAAAGGCAGCCGTCCACATCACTCGCCCCTCGCGGATCGATCGATCGCGCCCCTGAGGAGTGAGCTATGCCACCCCAGCTTCCGCTGGAAGTCGGCCAGGCGGCTCCGAATCCTATACCTTACGCTCCGAAAATCCCTGGGCTGCTTCAGTGACTCCATGCGACCCCAGACACCGTGTGACACGCTTGGGGCGGATCAAAGTTCTTCCACAGGGCCCCCCAAGCTTTTTTCCGGTTTTGTGAAAATCATAGGCATTGGTGCGCAGTCAAATCTAACTTATCGCGTGTAGCAGTGGCTTCAAGCATGAGAGGCTTACTTGCAACGAGAAACAGCCGTTCCGTTCTTGACTGCCTGCCATTTAGTGGAGTCTCTGTCGAGACCAGCCGACGTGTTTTAGGGGTCCTTGGGTTTTGCTGGATGCAAAAATGCTGGTGCTTCAGGTGATTCAGGTGCCCCTGGCGTGCTAGGCGAATCGCTAGGCGATTCGCTTGCAGACACATGCCACCAACTTGGGAGCTTCGCATAGGCTAGGAACCCATGTGCATTGAACCGCTTATAGAAACACCATTCCTTTTTTTGGGCTGAAGGGTGCACAGCCCAGTTGCCCAGTGGTGTTTTTTTTTAGGAAGGGTTCCCTGTTGGAGTCAACCAACCAAAAAAGGATGCCCTTTTTTCCCCCAGGGAAATCCACTGGGCATTTGAGAGCCAAAAACAATCGGGTCACTCAGTGCCAAAGGGCCCTTTCGAGGCGCAAGAGTCACTGGAGTAGCTCACCCTCTTTGCCTGCAGAGGCATCCTTAGTTTGCCCGGGTGTGGCCTCCTAGAATCCAGTTTTGCTTCTAGAGCCTAGCGTTGCGCTCAGTCCGACGCGAGGAGGCCAGACCGCATTTTTCACTTTTGTGCTGAGACTTGGTCCTCCAGTTGAGTTGGTAGTCCCTTTGTTTTCCAGCTGCTTGGAGTGGATAGGCCACGGCTTGTGTTTATCTTAGGGGGCAGAAGATTTGTTGAGCGTTGTGGCGCATGTGCACTTGAACGTCTCACTGGGCAGTGCGAGGCAGACCGCTATTGCTCATTTCCGGCGCGCAAAGAAAAATCGCCGTGGAGTGCGGACCCTGCTTTTGATCTGCAGGGTTGCTCCAACCCTCAAAACAATGACCCAACCGCATGTGTAACAAATGCGTAGGTCCTTCTGGTGTCCTCAAATCTCCGGAGCATCTTCTGATTTGCCAAGCTCCGGAAGACCGCACGAAGTCTTCAGTTTGGCAACTGGCAATTGCCCAGCTGTCATTCCAAAACAGGAAAACTCCAACGGCTCCCGGGTCACGTTTGGTTTCCAGGGCAGATGCAGCGCAGGGCACCGACAAGATGCTCATGGGAATGTCCCCATACTATGTTCCACGTGTTCAAACCGCGCCTTCCCCTATTGGGTTTCAGCCCTGGTGCTTGTTTTGGTGCCAATTCAATATAGCCAATAGTGTTTAGCTTCCCCAGAAGAAATCGAACAAGGATCGGCATTGTGGTATATTTTGGTAAGCTGAAAATGTTTTTTCTAAAACAGACACCCACATACGGATGTCAGTTTCTGCGCACGGCTCGTGACTGGTGGCCCGCAGGTACCCGAGCCATGGTATTATCGGCGAGGAGTTTGGCAACGTGCGGGCGGAGGCGGAGTTTGTTGGAGCCTTAGCGCGCCTTACTGCTTCCCTGCCAATCCCCCAATGCCAGCCAAGACAGTCCCCCCCCGCCTCCCCAGTCCCCTCCCCCAGTGATAAAGTAGGGGACGATATCGCGGGAGCCATGAATATTAGCAGCTTTGCAGCGGCTCTCCTGCAAGGTAGTAGTTCACATTTGGGGTGTTTTTTTGTTCAATCAAACTCCGCACTTGGCCGATCGTTCCCTGATTCGGGGGGGGGGGGGGGGAGCCAGCGTCTTCGGCTTCGCTGAGATTCGTTAGTGAGCGCAGGGCGAGGTTTTCGTTGTGAAGGGGTACAAGGTCGCAGACTTTTGCCCGACCCCTATAAACACCACTGTTCCAACTCTGTGCCAACTGGTGGGACGGCCACGAAGCCGGTTCCACAGTCACATCTTCAAGCGAATGATCTCCATCCCAGGAGCTCCAAAACGTGAGTTCCGTGGCCTGCCTGAGACAGCACTTGTAGCAAGTAGTTTCCGGCGGTAGAAGAGGTGTCGAAGAGCCGTCCAAGCAGCTGCAACATGCCTGGAGTTGTTGCTCTAGACTATTTATATGATTGCTGGTGCCATGTAGCTCGGGATTGACGCTGCCATTTGTCGGCCGTTTTATCAACATCCTCAATCGATCAAATATCAAAGCACCGTTCTTAGAAAACGTGGCGAACCTTAATTACCTGGCACGGGTCAGGATTTTGATTTGCACTCAAGCAAAGAGCTGCCCAGCAAAAAGACTTGGTGTGAGTTGTGGGCCGAGCCAGTGTGTCACGAGCGCTGAGTACCAGCCAGGCAGACAGTGTTTTTTCTTTTGTTCGATTGATTTGTCCTAGGCCTGAGCCAGGAGGCGATTCTGAATAGATTTGTTGGAACCAGCAGTTGGCAAACAAGAGGACCCCCCCTCCTCCTACAAAATGCGAGGGAAGTAGCTTTCACCAAAAGTGCTGTTGAAGGTCAAACACGTGACCTTTACAGTGGTCGCGTGGGGCCGTGCCAGCACAGGAAGCACGCGTCATAATTATGGAATCCGTGTCTGTCGTGTTGTTCTTGTCAAACAAGGCAGCGTCCATGTTTGGATGCGATTGTGCCCCTTGCTGGGGAAAGTGATCCACAAGATCCTGGGAGGAGAGGCATTCGCAGAGCAGCAATCAAAGAGGCTAGGAAGTGCTCTTCAATGAGTCGTGAGCATCTCTGGCACAAGGTGAGACAGTGCCACCCTTTGCCGACTTTAGGCGTCTTTAGGTTCGCCGCTAAACCTTGTCAATTCCCAAAAGGGTTTCCCACTGAGCTAGCTGGAAAGCTCCCGTGGATCCAAACCAAACCGGTTCGACCAGATCTTAGGTCTGGGTGCTGGACCCGATCGATGGCACCAAGTCCTTCATCACAGGCAGGTCATCGGGGGCTTCTCAGGGCCCTGAGTTGTGAAGGGAGGGCTGAGTGAAGCTTCGGGAAGGCCCCAGATGAAACGAATGGTTCACTCTGTCCCATGCCCTGAGAAACAAGTTGACTTGCCAGCCTTCAGCTCAGATGGCTTCCCGGTTCGATCAGGGTCCCGTAAGGCTGAGCTCGAATTTTGCAGGTCGTTCCTACCTGTGAGTCAACCAGGCCAAGGTTAATGCCAACCGAGCTCCTCTGCTGATGGTCCCTTGGTAAATTTTGGGCATCGGTGCGAAATTGGGGGGTGTCTTGGGTTTGGGAAGCTTTTAGTTGTCAAGGAAAATGGAGGGAATCGGAACAGTTGAGCTCAATCCCATTTAGAGTATCGATGTTGATGGTCCTTATCAGTTGTGCAGCCTGCAGGAGGTATTGTTGCTCCCTCATCCCCCCCCCATCGGTTTCCGGTGGTAATATTGTTGGACAGATTCAACGGTCCCAACAACGGTTGTCGTAAGTCCCTATGTGAAGTTGTTTGCCAACGGGTCCCTGGTTCATCCCCATACCCCTCTGGCCAAATGTGAACTAAGCTGACCTTGCATGCAGAAACCCTGGCTGATGAACAGGGGGTAACCCATCAGGTTCAACGTAAACCCGGGGTTGACATGAGCTGCATAAATAGAAACAAATGAAATAACATCAACGCAACACACCAGCAAGCAAATCCTTCATCGTTATTGGCAAGTTAGTTTTTTTAGTTGTCTGGTTCTGATTATTTTTGGTAGGTGTCGGCAAACAACAACCATACCAAGCATTGTGAAGATTCTATTTTTCTAGGGGTACCTCCCCCATTCTTTCCAGGGATCCTTCTTTCTAGAAAACCTCCTTTGAAACCCAGGTTGAAAACGGACCCGTTTTTTGTTTTTCTTCGGAAAGAACGATGGTTGAAAAGAATGGAAAAGGAATCACCCCCTTGTTTTTTTGCGAACAGATGGGGCTGCAAACAACAACCATACCAAGGAAAAACCAAGGGTTGTGAAGAGTTGATTTTGCGAATAAATGAAAGCAGCCCCCGTTCTGCTTGCCTCGCGTGCCTCGCCTTCGGCCTTCGGAGGGAAGCCGCTCTTCGGCACCTTGATCGCGCTGCTGCGGAAGGGCACGCCGGTGCTGGGGGTCATCGACCAGCGCCTTCGACATGGCTCGTTTCCCAAATTCGGGCGGGAGGGGGGGGTTCGCGTCCTCTCGAATGGTTTGGCATTCTATAGGCCATTGGGCCAGGATCTGACTTTTTTTTGTGTACCCCAGATTTGCGGCGTACTAACCCTGCCATCCGAAATCCCAATTTGCCCAGGTTTCAAGAGACCCTTCAGGTATGAGACTCGCTGTTGCGCATCTCAGCCTGGTGCCACACGAAACATAGCCTTTGGACAAGCAATGAGGTAACAACCTCAATTTACATCAACAGGGTTTGATTCCCTGTGTTCAACATTGTTCTTGTTAATCACATGCTTGGGTGCTGGTTGCTTTTGTTAGATTAAGGATCCAAGAATGGACGTTGTTTCTAAACAGTGGCAGGCCAAGCGGCACTTGTTTGCCCCATGTTCTTTGTCGGGTTTCACAATCTTCGGACCAGCTAAAGATTGTAATGACCTTGTGTGGTGTGTGTGTGTGTGCGTGTGTGTGTGTGTGTGTGCTTCAGTGTTCAAGGTTGATGACTCCTCTCTCTGTTCAGTAGAAGCATTTTCCCCTTTTCTGTAGGACAAATACATCCCCCCAAATACATGGATCCCCGAAGTGTGCGGGTTCATTTGAAGGTAAGATTTTGTTCCCAAAGCCGCCCAAGGCCAACCCGCGCGCAACCCCGAGTGACAAGGATCAAGTCCCACTGCGCTATGCCTTTAACCCCAAGGCCTTTCCACCTCTGAGAACCATCCTTCAAGGACCAAAAGGATCCAAAAGGACCCCTTGGAAAGGCTTTCATGTTTCGCCCCATATGAATTTGCGGCCCCCATTCGGCGATGCGCCCGAACATGTTGGAGCTGCATCCTGGGCCCCAGACCTCCATGCGGCATGTCAACTGCCTGAAAAAGCTATTCAAAGTTCCAATGTCTTCCCCCTAAGTGGCAGGTTAAAGGGAAGCACCCCTACTTGCTGACTTTGATAACCCCAACAAACTGTCAAAATAGTGAGCCCAGATATATGGGGGTAACCAGAGTCGTAACCAGTCTGAGGTGTGTGCTGAAGGAGCGCTGGGTTGGTGCCAATGGGCAGACAGTGCCCTGGTAAGCCTCAGGCCTTGGGAAATGGTATTTCTAGGAACTCCCTGAGTTCCTGGACTTGATACTTTTTTGGGAAGACCATTTTAAACCAGAAGTTTGAATTTCTTGGGGGGTCATCCACTCAGGAAGTGAGAGGTTGTTTAACATTTGTTGTCAGCGAGCGACTTAAATGCATGTGTTTGCGGCGCGCTCACCAATGCATGAAGGCCCTCAGCTTGGATCCGAATTGCAATCTTCGTTTCGGCTGTGCCTGCATTGGGCACAAGCTCCTTGCAGGTTCCGGGTTGTTTTCTTCCAAAAGGGGGCTTGTCTCCCCTATGCCTGATGGTAGTGGTTTGTTCCCGTGTTGCAGTGGTGTAGGGTTGTCAAATTCACGGTTGGTGGTTTCCCTTTTAACCACCGGGCATCGTGAAGACCTTCCTGGACCTTCCAACGTACCTGATGTTTTTGCCTCCCCTGTCAATCGGCTGGTTGTTGGAATTCGTACTTTTTGTTTCTTGGCTTGTCCTCTTTTTTGAACCTCGAGCAGTTTTTGGAGGCATGCGGGTTGTCAGGTCCTAATATGACCTACTCGAGCAGAAATTGTGCAAAAACGCCCGCCACGGCCCACAAAACGAGCGCAAAAACCCGCAAACGAGCGCAAATTTGAAAAGTGCTCATTTGAAAATATAAACCTCGGGCACTTTTTCATGGCTCGGGCAGGAATTGACGAATCCAGCACAAACTGGGTGTTCGCGCAGAAGAAAAAGCGAGCGAAAGAAAAGGTATCAATGGAAGGTCCAGGTTGAATTTTGCCAGCATTTGAGCATTTGAGCCTATGCTTTTGGGCTACCTCAGACCGTCAAACAGCTTGAAATGGCAGCAAAGTGGTGTCCTTGTGCTCGGCACGCGTGTGGGTTAAGGGCCGGACATGATCCAAACGCCAAACCTTAGCTGGTGGCCTGTGGAGTGCCCCTAAAGCCGGTCGAGTTTTGCTAGTTGCCAATCTACCAATGGACCAACCTCACTGTTTTGACCCTAGAATGGTAGAAGCGTGCCTGGAATAATATGGGATCTGATTTAGTGATTCTTTGCTGGACCAGTTTCCTCATGTGGCTCATGGTTCAGGGCGCAAAGCCGCTGGTATGTGCTGAAGTGTTACGATCTGAAGCCAGGCCCTTGCTGCCATAGCTCCCGCATTTCCCGTCAATCAAGCTGACGAGCCACATGTTTGGTTTGCTATGAAAATCGGCGGAACAGTTTGCCAAACCCACAAGATCCCACAAGTGTTGGAGGTGAGTCATGGCATTGCCGCTTTGTTTGAAGCACATCCTGCTTGTCACCAATGGTTCTATTCTGCTTGTTGTTTGAGGCACTCGGCTGTCTGTTCAGCCGCCCCCAGCAGGCGCGTCACTTTTGATGTCGCACTCTTAGCAATCTCCCACGCCTGCCACGCGGGCAACAACTCGCAGTTTCGCATGCGGTCCACGAAGGCGTTCCTTTCGCATGTCCCGCGTCACTTTTGATGTCACATTCTTAGATATCCGCCACGCCTGCCACGCGCACGCCGACGGCCTTGTTTGACAACGCGAGAACTGCTTGACAAAAGGATGCGCGCATGTGTATGTTTTGGTGGAATCCAAAGGGAATCCCCAATTTGACACCCATTTTGGCGGCCTTTCTTGTACGGGATCTCGCCTGTTTTTGAGGGAGCGGACACCAACCATTGTGAGGGTCCAAGTCCTTTTTTCTTCGCAGGTAATAGTATTCCCCTGTAATCATCGCTAAAATAATTTCAAAGTACCCCACACTTCCTTCATGATTTTGCCCCCTACGCAATGCACAGCGGTTATTGCACAGTGCCACAAGACAAAGAGCAAACGAGCAAACAAGAGGCTTGTGTGCACCAGCAAAATAATTGAACACATCATTACTGGCGCAATATCTTGGTGGCTCCCAGCCATCCCCTTAGCTTCTTAGCCTTTTGGTGGTATAGTTTCCATTTAACCCACTAAAAGTTAAGCTTTTAGCGGGGGATCTCAGGGCAGCCGAGATATGAGGGTCCAAAGAATGACTAACATGTTTTTTGTAGAGCGCCCCCCGTCCCATCACCCCTTAGCCCGGGTTTGGGCCATTGGGCTCTCAGGTCTTCAATCAGCGCCCGGTGCGCGCCAAAGGCGTGCGGCAGCTGTCAGAGGCCATGATGTATGCCACCACGCCCCACATGTTCAGCGCGGATGCCCAAGATGTGGCCTTCGGAGCCGATTGGGTGTTCCGGTGTTCTCTTTTGGGGTGGGTGCAACATAGAGCCAACAGAGGGGGTGTATTCAAGGGTGCCCCCTTCTTGGGGTTGAGGCCAAAAGGAGAGCCACGATTTGGGGCGGGGCTGGGGCGGGTGACATGGTGACATGGATGACATGGCGTGTGGAAAGGCAACTTAGGCCGAACTGATTTTCCCCAAAGTTCTTCACCTGACCTCGCAAGGCGGTATTTTGATTGCCTCGCCCAGTTGTTAAGGTAGAGGTGCTGGACTCCGACTTTTGTTTGTTCAGGGCCTGTAGCCATGTGGCCTTGGGGAGCTTGCGTTTGTGAACCGTCCGGTTTTGGAAAGCAGGGCTAGCCTTCAACATGGGGTGCCCTACTGGTTAAGTGTTTGTGTGCTTTTCGTGTTTGGGAGTGTTTGGAGAGCAGGGCAAACATGGATTGGGTTGCTTTGCCTTGTGGGGTGCCCTTGAAGAAGTATTGGCTCATAGTGAGTTGGGAAGAGGGGGCAGTTCTAGTGGGGGTTCGTTACTCTGGGTGGAGCATGACCAGCAAATTCAAAGTAAGCCATTTGTCAGCTTGTGAAGCTCCGTAAGACAATTCATTTTGTGTGTGTGAGCCTGTATCATCGACTTTGCTAGTTCTTGCCGTGCTGGCTTTAAACGCACCGGACTGTGGAACAAAAAGCGCGGCTTGCTCCGAACAATGACCAGGTGACCAAACCGGGCTGGGTAGAGAATTGTCATTGGTTCCACTTGGTTTTCGTTGGACACCAACTTTCCACGCTGAAAGCGTCGAATTGGAGCAATCCAAAGGCCTTTTGCAGCCAATTCTTCACCATCCCATCCTTCGCTCAACATCGGGACCGACGAAAGATGAGTATTGAGAACAAGAAGGCCAGCATACCAAGTAATACAACGGTGAAGTATTAGGTTCAGTTAAAATTACATTTTACAATTGTGTTTAAAAAACAGTATGTACTACAGATGAGTTATAAGCATACACCACTCCATTCCGCCCTTGGTCCCGCAGACGTGAGCCCATGAGCCGTTAGGCCCCGGCCTGGAGCAACAACGGTTCCTTGAGCTGCTGCTCCTGGTGAAGCGGCCCTTGTACGGCTGCGACTGCGCCGCCCTCGGTCTCTGCGTGGGAGGGTGGTGTTTGCAGGTCTTTGCGGGTGGATTCCCACAGGAATAGCGCAACTTGAGCTCACTCCTTCACTTAGTTCCTTTTGAAAGTTGCACGTTATTTAGGCAGCCTTGCTTGGTTCTTCCTCAAAGTGATCTGGGGCATTCACACGAGCACATTAGACTTTTTGCACTTGACCAGATATCTGTTTTCCCCCAATTCGAGTGGAAGCGTGGATTGAGACAGGCGTCTACGGTGCATTCTTCGCGTTCGCGGAAGCAAACTAGTATCATGTAGCCACATATCGCTGAAGACTAATTGAATCGGCCCGCTCGCTTTCCTTCGGCGTGGTAGCCGCTTTCCCTTGCGCCCCGTTCAGGGCGCAAAGGCGAGAAACCTTACTGTGGATTCCTTCCATAAGAAGCCACCGGAGAATCGATCCGCTCTGTGCATTCCACACACACCTAAAATGGCTGTGGGTCAAAGCCAATGGTACCATTTTGGGGCTTTCGGTGCACCACCCATTTCAGAACCTATTTTAGTGGTTGGATTGGGATGTTCACCCCTGGGCCAAATTATTCGACGCCATGCGAGGCTATGCCTATGGCCTTGTGGCAGCCGGATTTGGCGCGGACTTGGTGGTGGAAGCGGACCTTGGCACCTCGACGAGTTGTCAAGTTGTCCCCCTCCTCGGGTTTGAGCCCCGAAGTTGTGGGTTTCTTACTCCCTGAAGGAAGTTCATGGACTTTCAACTTTGTGGGAACACAATTTTGGTGGCAAACACACAGTTTGACATCAACTCATGAAGTGAAGTTAAGATCCATTAACCAAAGGTAGGCAATGGGTGAAAGTAAGTATGGGAACCTTCAGCCCAGTATGTCAGTAGCACCAGGTTGTTTATTCTTTCTTCTTTTTTGGATGGGGGTCATGTACTTTTTCTACTGGGATCCTTTGGCAACTGGGTGTCATCTTGCCAGGCATTCAGCTTTACTAGTTGGCGTTGAATGGCTGAAGGCTCCATGTGCGATGCTGTGCGATTCTGCAGCATGACCGGTTTTTTTTTGGAGGGCTTTACCTTCAAGCCACTGTGGAAGTTCGCATTTTGTTGGAGCAAACTGTCCAGTTCTGGAAATCGGTTGCAGTTTGGTTGAAAACCGACGGACGCCTCAGTGGTTTCAGTTTGGTTCGTCCCATCTACCAGTCGTTTTCCACCTAGGGCAGTCCATCCGCAGTCTACGAAGTGCCCATAGAGTTCCCGGTGTCAGCTGATGAAACAATTCCAGAGTGAAGCTTTGTGAGAGAAGTGCACCCATGATTCTCATGATGCAACAGGCTGCGCAACGCCTGGTCGTGCAGCGTCCCTCATGAAATCATGTAGGGTTCGAAACTCGCAGCCCCCCTCTCACGGAAAGATCTGAGCCTGTTACGGCTTCGCCTGTGCCCCTGGGATTTTCGACAACGTAGCCCATAGCAACAAACCTCCGGAAGGTGCCAGGCATGAGTTGCTATGGATCTTCACGTTGCCCAGAAGTGCACTGCTTGTTTTTGTTGCTTCCGCTTGTCTTAAGAATGTTAATCAAAAACTCTTATTGGTGTTGAAGTGAATCTATCACTGGATGTTTTTCCAGGGAATTCAGCAAATGGAGGTTTGTTGCTTGGGTTCAAAGGGATCCGAGCTCGAAGCTGAGGCTCACAGCAACCCCCCCCCCCCACCCCCCCGGCGCCGCGATCCCCCGAAGCTGCCGCAAGCGCCCGGAACAGCTTCCGAGCCATGGACCAGATACTTGGAACCCGATGGAATCCATCGAGCAAATGCTCCATGGACCCAGAACCTTGTGGAACCCATCCATCACTCATGGGAACCCTCCGGAGCCCGACCTTTGCTCCAAGCCACTCCGGAGCAAATTGAGCAAGACCTCATAGGTTTCCATAAGTTTCCCTGTTCGCTCAGCTCCCCAAGATTCCAAGGTCCCTCTAGAAAAGGTGATCCTCACAGGGTACCAAGGGCCCTTTGAAGAACGGCTTGCGGAAATTATTGACACTTACACAAGTGCCCAATTTCCTTTGGGTGTGGTTTCAGTGTGGTGTCCCTGCAATCCGCCATTTGGAGAGGCGTTGTGGCGGATGTCACTTTCCATGTACCCAGCCAGACTGATAATTTGACTCAGAACCAACTGCAAAGCCTTGCACAGGATTGTGGCCAATGCGTTTTCGCCATGTGATTCCTGCAGCTGTCTTGTCAGGCGTGGTACTTGTTTTTTCATGAGAATCTCTTTCGACATCATTTCACACACACAGAGTTCACACTTGACGAATCCCGATCCCATCTTAGGGCTTTGAGTTAACTTAAGACACCCCAGCTCCCGCAAGTCTGCGATCATTGTCAATTCACACCGTCACAAGGGAAGCCACCATTGTCTATCTTGGACTGTTGAGGCACGGCGTTGACCCCCCTCTCGGCACGCACGGGCCTCCCTTATGCTTTTCACCCTGCGCCATGTGCGGCGGCTGACTGCAGGGCCCCTGCGGCCACCCTTGCAATTGTTCGCCCTGGGCGCTCTACTGCTGACACCTGCCAGCATTAGCAAGCTTGGGAGTGAGCTCACCATGAAAGCTCTGCGCTTTGGGATCCAGTTCTTACTTTCTGTCTTGGAATTATGGTGGGCATTGCAGACTGGCCTGCAGCGTGTCTCTTGTTTTTGATCTACCTTTCTGATCTTTTCGGGATCTCTCTTGGGGCACAAGCTGAGGCAGTTTTGCTCTCACCGCCGCTTGATCCCTTTTGGTTTGTTCCTTTGGGTTGCTCCCGCTTTTGGATTCGATCCATGCTTTACCTTATGAATCAGATGGTTATCTTGTTCAGTAGCACCCTTTTTCCCCATTTTTTCCAATGTTCTTCCTCCTTTGGTCGAGCAAAGGGCAGCTTTCAGTCTCCGCAGCCTGCGGCTGCTGGAAGGAGCGCCAGAAGACTCACTTCGTGTTCACGCAGACAATGTCAGGCCAGGCAGGGTGTAACCCCAGTTGGTCCATGTTCAGAGTAGGGGGCTAGCGCGGTCAACGTGTAGCACTTGTATATTTATGTTAGGGTTGAACGTCGCACGTGTGATTCTCTTGCGATCATTACTTCACTGGGTTTTGAAGCACCTCACAGCCCCGTTCTAATTGTTTAAGCCCTTGTAGTTGCCAAGGTCCCGATCTAACAGTCTTCATAGCCAGGAATTCCCGCTGGCGTTCCCACTTTGGGCTTGAATCTCATCCCTTTTCAGCCATGAAACTGAGACTGTTACTTGATTTGTACCAAGAAGAGGTCAGGGAAAGAAAGCCCTGCTCATTGCAAGCGATTGATCCATTGCTCATTGCAAGCGATTCATCCATTCTTGCAAGATCCAGCTTCCGCCCACCGACGTTTGCTCGCTTGCCCAAAGCGACGACCTTTTGAACCCGTAGTTCTTCCAAACCCGGTTCTAGCAGGATAAAATTCAGGGCAAGTGACTCTGGTTTGGCCCATGAGGTTGGGAGATGAGCATGCCCTCTCTACCACTGCCAGCGTCACAACCACGAGGCTTGTCTGAAGGTATGGAACGGGCCCCCCGTTTTGCAGAAGCACCTGCAGGGGTTTCCTGGCACTTGTGCATCCCCACGTCCAAAAAGTAAGGTAAGCGGGCCCAACGCTTTTCCTCACACATCTTTCCTTTGCACTATGGGTCTCATGAATTGCAGGCCCAAACTCTTTTTCTTTTTGCTCAGGGCATCGAGGAAACTCGCTTTTCCAAAACCGACCTTATGGACCGCCCAGGTTTGATCCACTTTTAGTGAAACTCCAACTGGGCCCTTTTGTTGGTCTGGATTGGTTGAGGTGACTTGAAGCAACCCAATCCAACTCCCCAAGAAGGAAGCTGAAGGGGAAGTGAGGAAGACCACCTCCGCGGGCTCATCGGCCACCACGTCGGGCGGCATAGCGCTGCGCTACCTGCCTCACGTCGAGGGGGGCACCTTGGGCCAGCGGGGGCAGAGTCATAGCCAGGCGCGGGACCCGCGAGATCTTCAGGTTCCAGGCTTTTCGGCCCTCCTAGCAATGGGTATGGGCGGTATGGGTCCAAACTAAGCCACCAGAAAAACCGCAGGTTTTAGCCCATGTGTCCATTTACAAGGGTTCGATTTTGGGTACCTATTTTTCACCCACACCCGTATGGGAGGCCGCGAGTAGCGTTTCATGCACATGTTGATGTTTGTCTGTTTTTCTCGAAAACGGTGCGGGACATTCAAAAAAATAATACCCAACACCTGATAAGCAGCTTGAAAAAAGATAAGGGACAACGTCGGAGTCAATACACCACAGACAAGTAATCTTGACGCTGACTCATATGTTTGTTTTTTTCCAGTTGTACTACTTAGTTGTGGGCATGGTGAAGTGAGGTATGCGGCAGGTGTGAGGTTTTGTCCGTTTTGTGTTCAGGTTGGCCCCGTTGTTCAGGGACACCCGGTCTTAGGCCTGTTTGGCATTTCATGCACATCTACCTTCCGAATCACAGGATGCAACCAGGTGAAGCAACCGCGTTGCCAGGTGGGCCAGGATTGGCTGGTGCTGTCGCTGCTGAACTGCCAGAAGCAGGGCTTCTTTGTGGATTTGGCGGCCAATGATGCCGTGGATCTGTCCAATACCCTCATGCCCGAAAGGGACTTCGAGTGGACTGGTCTGTGCATAGAAGCCAACCAGATCCTCAGCCAACTTTCCGTTTGCTCGTGGCTCTCCTTTCTTTTTGAACACTTATTCCTGGTGCACACACGCAATTGTCCGGATTGGTCAGGCAGTTGGCCATTTTGGGCCATGGATGTCGGGAGCCAAGGATCTACTTGCCACAGCTTCAGCGGCGGCGATGCCGAGTGATCCAGGCGGCGGTGGGCTCGCCGGAGAACCAGCCGGCGGAATTCAAGCTCTCCGGCATCTTCGGGGGTATCGTGGCCTGGCTGCGCCTTGACCTTCGATTTTGTCTTTGGGGAAAAAGCTTGCTGTGGATTGATTTGTTGGGAGAGCCTGGGGTTCTCACCAAGCCAAATGGTTGGGAAAAGGCTTAGTTTCCCACTCAGGCAAGAAGTTGAACACTTGTTGACAGGTGGGGAAGGAGTTCGACAACCACGAGGGTGGCGACTCACCTCGGTCAGGTCCGCCGGGGAAGCGGGGAGGGTCCTTGATCTTCCACGCTGAAAATGGGTGTCTTAATCCCAAGATATCCTCAGGCGATGGGGCTTCCTCTTGCTTCTGTACGACCCAACACAGGTACCCTCAAAAAAGACAAACCCAAATGCAGATGCCTTTGGCAGACACCCATTTGGAGGGAAGGGCCCTCAAAATTATCCCGGCAAGAGACCCCAAATAGTATTGGGTTTAATTTGACGACGGGTGGCACGAAAGAAACACGTTAAATAAACTCTGACACCTCTCCCACTGCAGGTGAGAAACAGGCATAAACACATCAATGTCCCTTCGTAGCTTCTGCAAGTTCTGATGAGCAAGGTTGGTGCCGCGTTTCGAACAATGTCTTCTGTTAACTTCTCTTGCGCGCTACGCTGTGTTTTGAGGCTGCTGCGCGTGAAGCTACGCGTGATGTTGCGCATGATGCTGCGCAGGCATGATGTTGCACACGATGCTGCGCGTT